TAAGCACGTAAAGTTGACGTATTGCAGGCAACAAAAGATCATTGAGTAACGCTGACAATCTAGAGTTTAAGACTAAACAATTTAAAGAGTTTCGCTTTTGACAGTACATGGGTGATTTTTGATTAAAACGAAGTTAGAATGTCATTTACATGAAGAGGCAACTCTGTAAAAAGTGAAACAAGCACATAGTCAGTTTTATTTAATTACTATAAAAATTTGAAGAGCATCTTGAAAACCATTGAAATTGAAGTTCTAGGAAGTGATGTCATTTCTCCAAGCTGCAGTTACACTGAATATATAGTTCTTGTATAGGCACTCGGCACAATCATTTTACTGCTGGATGGTCCAATTTCAATTTCTGAAATAATATAACATTTAGTGTTAATAATGAATATGGTAAGAGAAAAATTAAAAAGTTACAAATTAAAAAGGAATCAACCGCCCTTTAAAATTTGAACAGGTATACAGAATGTACTTGAAAATAATGCATATTTTAAAGAGTTTATTAATCTTCTACTCTAAATACCAGTTACACATATTATATGCTTATTATATATCTGCCTATACAAGTCTTGAATATGGGTAAATTGTATTTAGAGAAGAGGAAAAATAAAGTCTGCACTAAGGCGGACACATGCATTACAGGGTTAAAGGAATACTATAATTTATAAAAATTATAGCTTGTAAGACAAAGGTAAGTAAAAATATATGTTACTGTTTCTGTGTATTTTTAATTTAACTAACAACCAAAAATAAATAAACAACCCCTCCATCTGTTTTGTTATTTTTTATTTATTTTGTCTATTCTAATTCACTATTTGAAAGATATAACAGGACAGGAAACTGAATTGTATCACAAGTATTAAAAGTAATTTTAAAAAACTGACTTCAAAATCATATAAATGCCGTCACCACATCTTAACCAAATTTATATGGGACCACCCCTGAGGTACCCCCTTACTAACAAAAAAAGAATCATAGAAATCGGACAAGGTGGTAAAGAATTATTGCTAAACATACATAAAAAATGAAGAGTTTGAGGATTTTTCTTATGGACCCAATTATTAAATTTTGACCAAATTTATTTGAGATCACCTCTGAGGTACCCCCTTTCTAACAAAAAAGAATCATTGAAATCGAACACTGTGTTAAAGAATTATCGCTGATAATACATAAAAAAATATATACATATATATTACAACGATTTGAGAACCTCCTGCCTTTTTGAAGTCGGTTAAAAAGATAATTATTTTTTTAAATTGAGGAATTGACAATAAATCCAACAGAAACCTCCAGATACCTCCATTATTGTTGATTTTTTCTGAACCTTCTTTCACATTGTCTATTTTCAGGTTTACCCTATATACAAGATAAAATATATTTTGAGTTAAGAAATTGTTGTGCCAGCCCTGACTTTGTTTACCTTCTTGCAGTTCCTTTCAAGTTGCCTGTCTGTGTTTCACTTCCGCTGGACGATCGAGACAAACGAACTCTTATGAGAAGTTACTGGGAAGCTCTAGCGCAAGTATGGATTCATGGGCAAAGACCATGTAGAAACATCTTGAAGTCTACGAAACAGGATTTGTCTGAAACATAATATTTTTTTGTATAAATGGATTCTTTTGCCATTTGAATTTAGTTTTGGTAACAAATAAAATAGTTATAATATAAGTTGGTGTATTTGGTGAATATAAATTAGAATAATTAAAGGGTTTAAAATAAACAGACATAACAATATGTTAATATTTGAAAACAGTTTCAAAACTTGCTAAGTCCATACCACAAGGCCCCTTCTCTGGAGCCGCCCTTGCCTTGTATACTACTAATATAGAAAAGGCGAAAGATGTAACTTGTGTTACCAGAATATTTTATTTCTTATTATAAGGCGAAAGTTGTAACTAGTTTGTGTTTAATAAAAGAAACAATCATTTCCCATTATTTTGTTGTATCAAAATTCGCCGTGTGGTTATAAACCATTAAGTTCAAAATATTTTTTTACTATATTTGTTTTTATACCTGCCAAAAAAGTTTAAATAAGTAGTTAATTCTCTTAGAATAGTCTTTTAAGTACCTTATGTATTAGCAGATCGGAAACTGCGGTAATTTTGAAGTCCTAGGTTTTCCCTAATTTTGAGAAATTACTTAACAGGGACTACGTTTTGAAACACACTCCACATTTATTCCTCATATATATTTTATACATAAAATATTTATCCAAGCACATTGTATTCAAGAGAATTACAAATGGGAAATTTAAATTTTAAATTCAAATTTATTCTGTCATCAGTCACCTGTCACTCTTCTTCTTTACCATTGTGAAATCACTGGCCTCTTTTTTTAAGAAAATCGGCTAATTACCATTGGCCTATTTTGTAACTTCTTATTGTATAAGATGAAGGTCAACCCAAAAGTCAAATAAAACAGAAGAATACTAAATTTCTTCAAGACAAAGGCCATGAAATTATTGAAAATTTAGAAGAATGAAATAACCTAATATAACCTAAAATTACCATTTTCTGCAATAAAAACACTTATTGACTGTAGATTCTGAACGCTTGATGGATGTACAATCTATTTGAATTATATCACTAACTTTTACAACTTAATTTTTCTTTTTAATGAGATAATATTAGACTGTGTACTTAAAACTTATTGCAAAAATGTAATGTAAAGTAACACAATAATGTGGCTCTGACACAAAGGATAATTAATTTTTTAACAGTTGAAACAAGTAATGCCATACATAAACATGTTACTTCTATGTATGTCCTCGTTTGCCGGCTGATATGGAGGGGCTTGATTTTAAATTGTATTAGTAAGAAGTAGCGTCAATTAAGCTCGGCGTTAAAAACGAAAACTTAAAACTATTGCAATGCATACAAGTGAAAAACATTGTATCAAAACAGAAATAAAACAAAATAATAGGTAATCAAAATCTACAGAGTTAAAAAGTTATAGTACGTTAAAAACTAAATTAATCCAAAAGTATTATATTAGTTTTCAGTTTCTATAACCTGCAATTAAAAATAAACTCACCATTAATGCTTTCTATGACTTTCAATTCATCAGGATTGGCGGATACTTTGTATAGCGGATTATCTTGCAGTTTGTAATGATTAATAGCAACTCTCAATTCATATTCATAGTTTTGAAGAAAATCGTCACATTTTAAAATACTGCCCGACGACAATGCCAATTTTATTCTGCTTTTTATCACTGTGTACCTCCGTTTCGCCCTCTTCAGAAAATATCACGACCATACACCACTACCATCTAAAGGAAAATGATATTTTTAGGTACCATAAAAAGAACTGTAACGAATTTGAAATTATAGATCATAATAATAGTATAACTTTTAGGCAAATATAGAAACGCAATTCTTCAAAAATTCTTTATTGGCAATTGAGATTTTTTTGAACTAGAAAACGTTTTTGGACTAATTTCAATCTATCTAGCTTTTTAATCTATTTTATAATAAATTACTGTTATTTTAAACCTATTTAGCGTCGTTTCCTAACTTTAAATTCAAAACGTTTAGTTTTTGAAAGTTTTCAATATAGAGAAAACATTTTTGAACTAGTTTTGGTCTTTTTCATCTATTTTATAATGAATTTCTGTTATTTTTAACCTATTTAGCGTCAATACTTAAAACATCAAATTTAAACGTTTGTTTTCCGTAAAATAAACGGTTTTTGAGATTTTTTGAAACAGTAAACATTTTTGGACTAGTTTTGTTTTATCTAGCTTTTTCATCTATTTTATAGTTAATTTTTGTTATTTTAAACTTATATACAGTTATTTTGAAATTTGAAATTCAAAACGTTTCTTTTCGTAATTCAACTAGTTTTTGACAATTTTTCGCCATTCTTGGACTAGTTTGTAATTTCTGTAAAAGTTTACCGCAAGCGCCATCTATCAAGGAGTAGTTAATGGTAGATTTCAGTTTTGATCCAAAGTATGTAACATGGACAGAAAATGACGAAGAAAAAATACATCTTTGTTTTACAAAAGATTTGGATTAGTAAGGTGGCCTAAGGACTTTTTTAAATTAAATTATTTTAAACCAAACTCTTAAATAGCTAGGCATAGAGATTAACAGTTAGAAGTATTCCAAGTTATCAGTTTATTTTTACATTATGAAATATACAGGGTGATTCAAAAATGTTTAGGTACAGAAAATGATAACAAATTTAAACAATTTATTACAGAATATAACTGACAATACATTTTTTAATAGAATTTGTAGTTAAAAAATATATATATGTTGGTTTTAATAAAAGTGTATGGATTTGTAAAACATAAGAAAAAAATTTTTTTTATTGTTATTATATATTATTATTGCTTCAGCTACAATAATCAAAGGCATTTAAGATTTAAGGGATATTGAAGAACATGGTAAAATTGTTTATTTAAAACGTTTCTATTTTCTGCAGAACACCTAATGTCTTTAACTACGAACAGCCACTGATTTTAGGACTACAACAGGGCTTCTTCAACTTTATGTTCAGCCTATACTAACTAGCTGAATAAAGGTATACTTTGACTTAAGTAGTACTCTTCCAGTCTATTATGCAGCGACCTTAATTAGCGCTGCAAGGGTTATCAGATAATAGAAGCGGCTTCTATGCAACCTATTTTTTAGACTTCGCCACTACTATACATACGCTAAATTGCTGAAAATAATTGTAACCAGCTTTCTGTCCGGTTGATGAGCTAAGATAGGATTGTTAATTTAGGACAACCCGCCTAGCTCCAAACCTTACAGATACAGATAGACTTCACATGATAAAATGTAAATCGAAATGGTTTAATTTAATGAAAGCTTCATGTGAATAAATTCAAATACCTAATAGCGAAAAAAAGTTAAACTTTCAGCTGGTAAACAATGTTTGAAAGCGTAAAAATATTCATGCAATTGGATTTGATAAAAAATATATTTTCTTATTATTACTGTTTGCTTTTTAATTAATTAAGTACGGATTCCGATTTCCCATTAGTGATTAATAAAGTAAAAATATAGAGTAATCTTATAAAGAACACCACTACGGCTTCACCTAATCCATAATGATCCAGTTGTGCTTGTGAATTTGTGCAAAATGGCATACAGAGAACACGAAAATGAAAATTTCGAGGAAACGAATCAATTAAATGACGTAAGTTTTGATAAAGACAATTTTGTTTTTGATATTCTTTTATTCATTCTACCAGGTACATAGATTGGTGGTTTTTTCGATCGGAAATTCCTCAAAATCGGTTCTCATGTCTAGCTAAAAAGATTTCGTTTCACTTCATATGTTAGCACTAATAATTTATACTGCCAGATTTTGAATTTATAATTTTCTTTGTAAAGTCCGTCCAGAATTACCATATTAATTTCTACCGTTTTTAATGTAATGTTAACGACTTTTGGTTATGATTAATAAATAAAACATTTAAAATAATAACGGAAACTATACTTATTTGTTTGCAACTTTTATTGATTTGAAAAAGAAGGAGAAATGGTTTTTAAAATTCCTATAAATTACAGGGTGTGTCAGGAAAAAACGGCAGAAACTCCAGGAGTGTATTATAATGTAAAAAAATATGCATATCGCGGGTCCACTTTTACGTTGTACACTTCATTTTTCAACGACCAATCAAACACCTTAAAAACGTTTCGTGGATACAAGTAGAACGTTAAATAAAAATATTTCATTATCCTTTAACTTGAAAACAAATGAAAATCGGATGAAAACATGTTTTTTTTTTTTAATCCTTATTAATTTACAAATAAAGCATCTTGGTATTAACCTTTACCAGTTATACTGGATTATTGGACGCAAATCCCAATTGTCACTAGAGAACGAGGTGTTGGTATATAAGTTCATCTTCAAACCTATATGGAGACATGGAATGAAACTGTGGGGTTCAGCTTCTAATTCAAATGAAAACATATGAGTTATATTATTTTTACGTACATAATACGCTCCTGGAGATTGTGCCATTCCTCCCGATTCACCCTGTGTAAAAGGTTACTTAGAAATAATACAAATTAATTAAATCACACAGAAAGAATTAGTGAATTAATATTGTGTCGATATTATCAATAATACAATGATGCTATAAATATTATTTCCTATATAATACTAATCTATTAATTTCATTGATTATAATTCGTTTGTTTCACGTTTTTCTGGCTTTTGTTTTCTCACGATATTTCCTTTGGGGATTTCATATTATTATAAATCTTTAGATATCAAGTTTTTATAGGATGATGGTATGGATATGGACGATCTGCTGCCACAAGTTGGAGAATTCGGACTTTATCAAAAATTATTGTTATGGCTAATTTGCCTTCCAGCTTGTTTTCCATGCGGGTTTGGCGCTTTTAACCAATTATTTATGACAGATGTTCCTGACCATTGGTGCAAAGTAAGTTTTGATTCATATTATGTAAACTAAAATAAATTTTCATAAGGTGGAATAAAACTCGAGTTATGCAATACATAAACAATATTTTTTAACAATTTGGTACACATAATTTATGATAACAAATATGAAGATGTAGGTTCCAGATTTGTGGTTTTTGGATGGTAAAGATGTAAAAAACTTATCAATACCCTACAACAATAGCACGTTCTCTAAATGCTCAAGATATGCCGTAAACTGGACAGAAATTCTGGATGATTCCGGTGGAATACCAGGCGATGTGGTCGTTGATATTTCCTGGCCAACTGAAGGTTGTCTTGACGGTTGGATATATGACAGAAGCAACGTTGTGTCAAGTATTGTGATAGATGTAAGTAGATATATAGAATGTTGGCAAAATTAGATCTTCGGGCCGGATTTGCTTGTGCGTTAAAATGGATTATAAATAGAATTCGCATATGCACGAGAAAAAAAACGATATATTATCGATGCTACCAAATCAGTCGTTTCTCCTCATGGATATTTTTTTATTATCTCTTCTAATGATCCTTTTTCTACTACTCGCAAGGGGGAATCAGTCTCTTGAATTTCTTTAGTGCTTTCCAAAGCAAGTAGTCATTTTACTTTTACAGTTTGTTAGTTGAATTAAAAGATACATTTTTTAGTTCTTCTATCTCTCTTTTTAGTTGTTGAGAGAATCTATTGCACCTATTTTTATTTTCAGAACAACTGATTTGCTACTATTTGCCTTTTATTTTTTCTGCAATTAAGTTGAGAATTTTTTTTTTGAATAGTTACCTATTGCCAACAGTTCTTGTAATTTCTACTGTATGAATATGGTAATGCTATTTATTATTCACACACGTAAAGCAGGCGCGAAGGTTTGATCTTGCCAACACTGTATCCATATTGGCAAGACCTGACCCTCAAATTATCTCTAGGTTTATTAATAAAATTTGTATTTTTTAGTTTGATCTCGTTTGTGATAAAGACATCTACCCTACGCTCGGTTTAGTAGCGCTAAATATCGGTGGTCCAATCGGTGTTTATACTTTTGGACGATTAAATGATACGATCGGTCGAAAAAAGTCGTTTTTTCTTTGTTTGACAACGTTATTACTCGGAAGCCTTTTGACTGTAACAGCTCAAAACTTTTGGTGGTGGGCTAGCAGTAGGATAGTCGTTGGACTGACCATCCCAGCTATGTACCAGATTCCGTTCATTATATGTGAGTTTTTAAAACCTATTCCTATATTTTTTATTCCATTCCATTTTTGATTATTTGCATCCATATGTCTCTCAATGTTTACATAACAAAAAATACGATATTATCATATTTCCATTTTTCAGAATTAAGTTTATTCCTTACACTTGAACTTTTTTTAACTTTACTATCTCACCTTGGTATTTTTTTTGATTTGAATGTCACATTGGTGCTGCACCCTTTTCGTAATAGTTTCCAAAGTGTCCAAAAGAGTTTCCTGACTCTCACAAGCATTTGCAAAAACAATTCTTATACCTTTTACATATTCTACGTCAGGCCTGCACAACATACGGCCCGCCATTGTGTTTCCTTGGCTATACATTTTTCAGAAACAAAATTGCATTTATCTTAAGAGCTCAATAGAAACACCTGGTTCATTATAACCTGACGACCTTCTCCCCCCCCTCCGGTCAAAAAAAAATATTTACACCCGTTCTTGGCCCTCCTACACTACAGTTTGTTTGAACTGGCCCTTTGAAAATCTCAGTTCTACGTAGTCATCTTCATCATCTTTTTCTTTGTCTGCATTTCTTGTCAAAACGCTACCTGTTTTTCATCCAATTTCTGGTCTCAATCTTTTTTTCTTTGATTCTTGTGTATTGTTTGAAGCTAGTTTGGACTAAACAAATAGGTCTGTAGTTGTCACACTCTGTTTATCTTTCCTTCTTATATATAGATGTTTTTATATTAATTAATAATAGTAACAAAAAAACCAGAATATTGAAAAAATATATCATATTAAATACTTTTATTGTTAAATCCTTTAAATTAAATTATTTATCAAAAGATTCTTCTGTTTTTGCTATGCTTCTTTGCTTACAGCCTATCCCATAACCACTCTTTTTCTTTTCTTCCGACTTTCCAACCATTTTATCATTTCCAGAGCTATAGCATTTTTCTCACTTGTCTTTCCTATTTTGATTTACCTTCCTATTATATTCAGCTCTAGTTTCAGTTTTTGTTTTAGCTCTTGAACTCGTGGGTCCAAACTACCGATCTTTTGTAACGGTATTGACCTGCATGTTTTACACAGTTGGTCTGATGATGCTAGCAGGAATTTGCTACTTAGTACAAGATTGGGTATTATTAGGTATATGTACCTCTGCTCCATTCGCCCTTTACTATTTGTATTGGTTCTTCTTGCCGGAAAGTCCTAGATGGTTGCTAGCGAAAGGTCGGTTTGAAGAAGCTTCAAAAATACTGGAAACTTTAGCTAGGGTGAACAAGAAAGAACTACCATCAACCTTTAAGCAACAACTCAAGAGGAAAATTATGCATAAGAGAACTAAAAGTGAGGAAGAAGCTCTCAAAAAAAGTCCAGGTATGTTTACAATCTGAAATGTTCATTTAAGGATATGTTGATTTTTGAAATTTTATTTCAGGTTGTTCGGATTTATGTGGTACTCCCAATATGAGACTAAAAACAACTTTAATTACACTAAATTGGTTTGCTAATGAAACTGTATACGTAGGTCTAAGCTATTATAGTCCTTCGTTAGGCACCAATGAGTATCTGAGTTTCTTTTTCTCTGCTGCCGTGGAAATACCAAGTTATCTAGGCTGTTGGTTGATAATGGACAGATGGGGTAGAAGATGGCCAACGTGTATATGCATGCTCCTCTGTGGAATCTGTTGCTTAGCAACTGTTGCGATACCGAGTGGTAAGTATTAAAACATTTTAGAAATGTGTTTTATAACCTGAGGATAATTGAAATATCCAGATTTAGCGAAATTAATATTTATTTTTAGATGACGTTAAAACCACGTTAGTCTTATACTTGGTATCAAAATCGGCAATATCTGCTTCATTTTTAATAATTTTTCCTTTTGCTGGAGAATTATATCCCACCCAAGTAAGAGGTATTGGAATTGGAACATCTGCATACATTGCTGGCTTAGGACTTATTATCATACCTTTTATCACATATTTGGTAAGTAGATAATATCATTATCCTAATTTCATTTAAGTATATGTTTTATATTTATATCAATTGATTTTTTACAGGGATCCGAAATGTTGATCCTGCCTTTAATTATAATGGGAATCATATCAATGATAGGCGGAATTTTGGGACTACGGCTCCCAGAAACTCTCCATTACCGATTACCACAAACAGTGGAGGAAGGTGAAGAGTTCGGAAAAGATTTTAGCATGAAAGATTGTTTAAGATGTATACCAATAAAGTAAGTCAAAGAGAAATTGTAAACCATATAAATTGGATATAGGTACATCATTGAAATAATCCTTATTTAAAACCAAATCATTGATTTCCTTTTTTTTAGACCTATGTCTTCTATAGTAAATTCTTACGAAGATTTAGAATTAACACAAGTTCAGTCAAATGTACCTACTGAAAAAACACCACTGGACATCGCCTTACAACCAAGAAAATCTATAAGAAAATTAGCGAGACAACAGAGCGTCATGGACACCCAAAAGGCCTCGGACGGTACAATGCAAATGACATACTGGTTTTAAATA